TCTTGAATCCCTGCAGAATGTTAAGGGGAAACAAAGCTCCATAACTAAAGCAAAAAATAGCAACAGAAATGTAAATAAATGAATATTTAAGCGCCCTCAAGTCAGGTGAAATTCCCGCCGACTACCTCAGCCCGTCTTTCATTTTCATCCGGGAGGGATCGAGCGATAGAATTTTTAAGCAACTCACGGTAATTTATAAGTATCTCCGAAACTATTCATACTCCAAAACTTCTGTATTCTTTCCCTCGTTGTCTCGCCACATCCCGCTATTAACAGTTGAATATTATCGACTGGAAGAAAAACACGACTTTAAGAAGAAGAAAAAAATGTTTCTTCCTCATGATCTGTTATAACTTTGCAACTGAAGTTCTTTCTCCCCATCCTTCTCGACTAAACTGTCCGACTTCAGTCTTGAGCCCAATAAAAGAAGAAGAAAAAAATTCCGCCACCTTTCTACACGGACATCTGTGAGTTCACAAAGGATGCTGGCTGAAATTACCAGCGCATCAATTAAACAAATGCCCTGACAATAATACACTTCTTTATTTCATTCCTTTTCCCTAGTTTTCCCTCCTCTGCTTCTCAAAAATCCAGGTTTCTAGGCTTTTTTTCAGGCAGCCAGCAAGCACCCTGCTGCCCATTGGGAGACTAAGGAACCCGGCTAAAGAGAAATACATGTAAAAGCCTACGAAAAGAAAACAAATACTGTACCTTTACAGGGAGGATACATGGGATTAGGGTGTGGCTAACTGATGAGGACTAATAAATCCAAAATAGATCTATCTTAGTCTCCTTATCTCCCAATGGGCAGCAGAGTGTTTGCTGGCTGCCTGAAAAAAGCCTAGAAACTAGTGGATTGTGATTTCACTGAACTAGGGCTGCATAAAAATCTTGGTTTACGTAGGAAGAACCTGGCTAAAGAGAAATACACATAAAGGCCTACGAATTCTGCCAGGCCCGTTAGCCTTAACGTGACGTATTTCTGTTTTGCAGAATTTGACGTTTCCTTCGGTTAAAAGCTTTCACTATTCCACCGGTCCAGCTATAAGCATCCTGGCCAAAAAATAAATTAAAAAAAGAGCTCCTTTTTCAGCGTTGGCTCAGTTGAAGCTTTTGGTCTACTCAGATCGGGTTTCTCGATGACTTGTGGAGGTTTCTCTTTTGTCCTGAAGTAACCAGAGGGGCATCTCCCAACTACAAAACCTTATCTGGCCCTCAAACTTTTTTGAAAAGTTTCTGTAGGCTGCAGCTTTTTTTTTTTTCCCTCCAAGTTGGATTTCCGATTTTTCCAAAGCACCCGAAGGCAAGACAAGTAGCAACGGATGGAAACTAGTCAAGGAGAGAAGCAACCTAGAACTAAGGAGAAATTTCCTGACAGGGAGAACAATTAATCGGTTGGAACGACTTGCCTCCAGAAGTTGTGGATGCTCCAACACTGGAAGTTTTTAAGAAGAGACTGGATAACTATTTGTCTGAAATGGTAGCGGGTTTCCTGCTTGGGGGCTGGACTAGAAGACCTCCAAGGTGGAACAAGCTTGCCTCCAGAAGTGTTCTGACCCAGTTCTCCAAACACGACAAACCCTCTGAAGTGAACTCAAAGATTCCTTTGTCAGGAGCGCCAGCAGCTACGGCAAAAAGTTTGTCTCTCACCACAGGCTAACAAGTCCGGCCGGCCGGGAGATGAATAGTTGTCTGCCACATCTACTCATCTCTGCACCCTGCCTTTTATCCCCAGAGCTAAGGTGGGGCTTCACTAGCAGCGGTGGCTTTTCCGTCCCAAGGACCAGCCCATAGATTTCCACTGCTCTCCTCTCCTCTGCCTTCTTCGATCTGTGCGTCAGGCACTGGACCCAGCTGTTCCTCCTCTTCCTCATCAGCCACCTCCAGACCTGGGGGCTGTTGACTCTCCATCTGAGGGCTGACGGACGGCCCAGGCTCCGCCTCTGTCTCTTTCTCTCTGCCAGCTCCATTTCCTCTTCTCCCTCGGAGCTCTCAGGTTGCCTTGATGGTGACCCTGACTCCCACACCTCCTCCTCCTCTGATTCGGCTGCCGGAGGGGCCGGCGGCCGACAGGCCACAAGAAGAAGTTGTGGCTGCTCCATCACTGGAGGTTTATAAAAAGAGACTACGATAACTATTTGTCTGAAATGGTGTGGGGTCTCCTGCTTGGACTAGAAGACCTCTCAGGTCCCCTCCAACTCTTGTCATTGTACTATTCTTAGGGGAGTGGGCTTTCCTCACGTCTCTAGAGCCCATTTTGGGGGGTTTTAATCCGGCCAAATCTATTTAATTATTTTAATTTTTAATCATTGTTGTGTCTTGTGTTTTTAAATTGGTTGTACACCGCCCTGAGTCCTTCGGGAGAAGGGCAGTATAGAAATAAAATTATTATTATTATTATTATTCTGATCTTACCTACAAGGGTAATCCTAAGGGGGTCACTCTCAAAGTCATGGACGTTACAGAGTTCTCCCACCAGATGAAAGATGCGGATTATTATTATTATTACCGTGTTTCCCCAAAAATAAGACCCTGTCATATTTTTTTGAACCCTGAAATAAGCGCTTGGCCTTATTGCCATGCACTCAAAAGACAAAAGATGTCTTATTTTGGGGGAAACAGAGTATTACTGTGTTTTCCCAAAAATAAGACCCTGTCTTATATTTTTTTGGACCCTGAAATAAGCGCTTGGCCTTCTTTTCGGAGAGGTCTTATTATTTTAGGGCTCATGGAGCACGACGGGGATCCTCTTGCCGTCTTACCTGATTTCCAGCTCTGTCTCCCTAACCCTAACCAGAGGAAATGGCGGGAACTGGCTGTGCATGCGTTTAAATATTTTCGGGGAGGGGCTTATTTTAGCACAGGCACTCAAAAGCCAGATTGGGCTTAGTATCAGGGGATGTCTTATTTTCAGAGAAACAGGATATTATTATTCACTTTATTCATTAAACATGTATGATGTTCCACATTATGTTCATTATTATTATTATTATTATTATTATTATTATTATTATTATTATTATTTAAATATGAAACTCAGTCAACTGAACATTCAAAAATGCATTACAAATACCATTGACTGGTGCTAATGATTGATACAGGTTGCTACCAGTGTTGTCGTTGTTGTTGTTGTTGTTATTATTATTACTATTATTATTATCATCATCATCATCTCTCTCAGCATCTGAAGATCAAGACAGACACCTCAGAATAGATTACCCGCCTTTTAAAACCCATATAGCAGCCAATAAAGCTTGAGAATTCCATATTTCCGCAGATTTTGGCACTCACGCTGAAAAGGCGCTCCCAGGCAAAGCCAAATGGAGATATGACCCAGGAGGCATCACCCAACATCTTGCTTAATCTGCTTACTTGAAATAACCCCCGTCCTGCCTTCACCCCAAAAAAAAACAGGCCGCGTTTGCATAATCATAATTACCATTTTCACGGTGTGCCCTTACTCCAGATCATTGTAATTAGTTCTGTTTTGCTCTCTCTCTCTCTCTCTTTTTAAATCTGAATTACAGAGGTGGGAATTAGCAGAGTGCCAAAAACACAAGCGACTCCCTCCATCAGCCAGGTGGATTTTCCATCAGGATCTACCTGTCCACTTGCTTGGCATGCTGGACCAAACCTGAATTACTCGGGGCGCCTTCCCTGGGCAGGATCCAGGCAGGCGTGGGGGTGGGTACTCAGGGGCAGCACCAAGGAGGATGGTGCACAACCGGGAGTGCCAATGCAATTGCAGAGAAGCTGCTAGGCTTAGGGGGGTCCTGACTGTGCCCCTCCCCATTCCATCTCCCTGCAAGGGGGCAAAGCAGCTGAGACCCCCTTGGGGGAGGGGAGCTCCCTCCTGACCTCTGTATCCCTTCCCACCTCCTGTGAGGGGGACCAAGCAGCTGAGATGCAGTCCTACGGGGGTTCAGAGCCCCCTCCTCACCTGTGCCCTCCGTTCCTCCCTCTGTGCAAGAGGGCAAAGCATTCAAGATCCCTTTCTGGGGGGGGGTCCAGAGCCCCCCTCCTCACCTGTGCCCTCCCTTCCTCCCTCTCCCTGCAACGGGGGGGCACAGCATCCGAGATCTCTTCCTAGGAGGACCCCTCCTGATCTTTGCATCCCCTCCTACTTCCCTGAAAGGGGGCCGGGAAGCCCACACCCCCTTGTAGGGGGGCCGAGAACCCCCTCCTGACCTCTCCATCTCTTCCCATCTCCCTTCGAGGGGGACAAAGCAACTGGGATCCCTTTCTAGGGAATCCCCTCCTGAACCTCTGCATCGCCACCTTCCTGCAGGCAGCCAAGATCCAGTCCGGAGGGGTGGAGGGTCCAGAGCCCGCTCCTCACCTGTGCCCTTCCCCTCTTCCCTCTCTCTGCAAGGGGGCAAAGCATCCCAGTTCTCTTTCTAGGAGGGCCCCTCCTGATCTTTGCCCCCCTCCCTCCCTCCCTGCAAGGGGGCAAACTAGCAACCAAGAATTCCTTACTAGCAGAGCCCGGAGCCCCCTCCTCACCTGTGCCCCCCCTCCCTCCCTGCAAGGGGGCAAATTAGCACCTGTGCCCTCCCCTCCTCCCTCTCCCTGCAAGGGGGGCAAAGCATCCCAGTTCTCTTTCTAGGAGGGCCCCTCCTGATCTTTGCCCCCCTCCCTCCCTCCCTGCAAGGGGGCAAACTAGCAACCAAGAATTCCTTACTAGCAGAGCCCGGAGCCCCCTCCTCACCTGTGCCCCCCCTCCCTCCCTGCAAGGGGGCAAAGCAAAAGAGATCCCTTTCTATGGGGGGGTTGGGGGGCATGCAGCCTCCCCCTCCTCTGCCTGGCAGGCAACGACCCCCTCCCCTCCCCTCCCCAGCCACGTCGCCCTCCTCCAAGGACAAGCCCCCCCACCCCCCCACTCACCCACCCTTTCCTAGCTTTGCATCCTCCCCGCACATGCACACCCTCCTCCTCCTCCCCCCACCCCAAGATCTACCCCCTCCCAGCTGCAAGGCGGGGGTGTGGGGGGGGGCACTCACCGGGTCTTCGCTGGCTGGCAGGCGAGGGGCGGGAGGAGGAAGACCCCCCCCCAAAAAAAATGCCTCTGCAGAGCCGGGAAAGGAGCAGCGGGAGCAGCGCTTGCTTGCCGGGCTGGCGTGGTTGCTGGGCGGGGGGGGGGGCAGTGCGCGCTCCCGAGGCGGGTGGGGGGGGCGAGAGAGGGAGGGGGGGAGGCAAAGCAGCCGCGGCAGCAGCAGCAACAGCGCGCCGCCGTGGAAGGACGGCGCGCCAATCTGGGCTTCTGGTCGCCCCGCCCACTGGAGGAGGAGGAGGGGGGGGAAGGGGGCGGGGCGGAAGGCGGGCCGCCGCGACGCGCGAGGCTCGAAAAGTCCTCACGTGACCCTTTCGGTGATTGGCCGAGAAATTCGGAGGGGGGAGGGAGGGGCGGGGAAAGGGGGGGAGAAAGGGGCGCGGCCTCAGCGCTTTAGTTGGCTGGCTTGGTTTGATTGACGGGCGGGGGGCGGAGGAAGGACGTTGAATTCCCGTGCGGGGCGGAAAGCATCCAAAGGGAAATGACAGCTCCGGTGGCGGCGGCAGGGCGGGACTTTAAGGTCCCGCGATTCTGATAGGCAGCTGGGCTGCCGAATAGGGAAGCGAGGGAAGACGAAGGAGTGAGGAGGAGGAGGAGGAGGTGCCACGCGGGATGACAGACAGCGCTTCCAGCCGATGAGAGCGGCGGAACGAAGCCAAGGCCGGCCTATGAGGGGGCTGCTGCGGGCGGAAGTGGGGGGGTTGCTGCGAGAATGCGGGGCCACTCTCTCTCTCCCTCTTCTTCTCGCTGATCAGGCGAGCCCGGCAAGTGCCGTCCTAGAGCGGCGTCGCTTGGCGGGGGGCCGCCCATGGGGTCCTGAGGCGAGGTGAGTAGCGCGGCCTTTTTCCCGCCTAAACCGGAGGCCGGAGAGGGAGCCGTGAAAGGCCGGATAGTCGGCTTTGGCCGCCGCGGGGCCCACAGGCCGGGCGGGCTCGAATCCTTTTCCTCAGGGGCCTCTCCTCGGTTGTTGGGGGGGAAGGGAAGGGAAAAGGCGGTCTAATTTTAACCCCCCTCAATCGCCTCATGGAAGAGAAATACCTGCGTCGTGTGGAAAGGGGTTTTTTTTTTTGAGGGGAGGGGGTGTGAGGGGGCTGCTTTTTTTTTTTTTTTATGGCGCCTGTGACTCTGGAGTCCCCTTTTTTGGGCCTCAGCCAAAGGAGGCCCCCAGCGCTCACTGGAGCCCTGATGGATGTTACCTAGTTTGGGTCACGAAACGTCTGCAAAGGAAAAAAAAAAAAATAACACCAGCCGGCTCAGAAAGGGATGAAGGATCCCCCTCAGTCTCCTCCTCCTCTTCTCCACAAACCCCCCATTCCTTTTTTTTTTAAAGCACTGATGATGTTACCTAGTTGGGTGATGAGACGTCTGCAAAGAAAACAACCAAGCTCAGAGAGCACCAAGGACACCATTTTATTATTATTATTATTATTATTATTATTATTATTATTATTATTATTATTAATTTTGATTTATATGCTGCCCTTCTCCGGAGACTCAGGGCGGCTTACAATGCGCTAAGCAATAGCCTTCATCCTTTTATATATTTTTATACAAAGTCAGCTTATTGCCCCCACAATCTGGGTCATCAATTGACCAACCTTAGAAAGGATGGAAGGCTGAGTCAACCTTGAGCCTGGCGAGATTCGAACTTACAGTAATTGCAGACAGCTGGAGTTAAATTACAATGCGTTAGTCTGCTGAGCTATCCAGGCTCCACCAGAATCCTCCCCCTCCTCTTCTTCCTCCTCCTCTTCACAAGCTCCACTCCCTCCTAGCCCTGATGATGTTTCCTAGTTGGGTCATGAAACGTCTGTGAGAAAACAGCCAAGCTCAGAAAGGATCAAGGACACCCCACTGTCGTCGTCCTCTTTTAAGCCTTCTGGGAAGGGCCAATCATCTCCTGGCCTTACTCCCGAGTTGTCCTTTTTGCTTTAGCTGCTCTTGCCTTCTGGCAGCTCTGCGCATGCGCGCACTAGGAACGGGCTCCCCCTGTTCCTCTGCCTCTCTGCTGTCCGACTCTGGAGGCTCTGGAGTCTGCGCATCACTCCCAGATGGCCCTGGCCCCATCTCTGCCTCCGACGCAGAGCCCTCGTCCGGGCCTTCACCAGACTCCAGGACTGGCCCATGTTCCTCCCCAGCCTCCTCACTGTCCAACACTGCTGCAAGCTCCGCGGGCTGCTGGCGGACCACAACATTCGGATTGTTGGGGGCCATAGACTGACATTGTAAACCATTTAGAGAGGGCTGTAAAGCATTATGAAGCGGTATATAAATCTAAGCACTATTGCCAGTGCCATAATCTCCAGGGCAAGGCCAAATGAATTAAATGAAACAAGTAGAGATTTCCTGTTTGGTTCTAGTGAACTCATAAAAGCAAAAAATTCCCAGTTTACAATATCCACTGTTTTTGTTGTTTTTTTGTTGTTGTTTGAAAAATAGCCAAAGCTTTATGGGGGGACATACGTAGAATGTCTTTTTATACGCTTTTACCCATCGCCTTATTTTTTTTTTTTTCCTTCTTTTATTCTAGGGCATCTCTTTTTCCATTCTGGCTACTGACTACCAAGGCTGTTTAAATGAGAATGTCCTTGGCCCAGAGAGTGCTACTCACATGGCTCTTTACGTTACTCTTCCTGATCATGTTGGTGTTAAAACTGGATGAAAAGGCACCCTGGAACTGGTTTCTCATATTTATCCCGGTTTGGATATTTGATACCATTCTTCTAGTGATGATCATCGTGAAAATGGCTCGCCGTTGTAAGTCCGGCTACGATCCTCGCAACGGCTCTCAGAATCTCAAGAAAAAAGCATGGTACTTGACGGCGATGCTTCTGAAGCTGGCCTTCTGCCTGGCCCTGTGCGCGAAACTGGAACAATTTACTGCCATGAAACTTTATTACGTCTTTATTCCCCTTTGGATTCTGCTCATCGGCGGGATGATAGAACTCGGCTATAATATTTTCTACGTAAGGAGGGACTAAACTTTCATTTTGTTTGTTTTCACATTCCTGAGCAACGCTGCTACGAGCTTTACCGCCTCTAAAAAGGAATTATTTAAAATAGGCATTTGCTCTGCAAGCTGTTAAGACGTGATTCTTCAGTATGCGAAGCGGAGCCATCTAATGTTCCATGTACATATTGTAAATAAAACCACCTCATATTTTCTGTGGTTTTTACATTTTATGTTTTTGCGTCCGACGTGTCTAGAGACGGTACACAAATTTGCAATTACGCAGCAGTATACCAGAACCCTTAGTATTTTTGCTTGTTGTGACCTAGGCTTACTGAGTCGTTACAGGACACAATCAGTCTCAAACAAAACTATTTTATTATAACAGCTGAGAATTACTTCATTCCCAGCTTAATCCAAATTAATGCCAAAACAAGTCCTTCAGAAAAAGTCCTTGGGGCTTATCACAAACCTTTATCTTCTTTGGCATCCTGCCAAAGGCCTTTCTTGGCAAACCCCATGAACTTCAGAAACAAGAGATGCCAACTGGAAAACTGATTTAGCAATGTTGCTTTCCTACAAAGAGCCCAAGAGCCTTTGCTGCTCTTTTAAGCCTTATGGGAGGGGCCAATCATCTCCTGGCCTTACTCCCGAGTCATCCCTTTTGCTTTAGTTGTTCTTGCCTTCTGGCAGCTCTGCACATGCGCGCACTAGGAACAGGCTCCTCCTGTTCCTCTGCCTCTCTGCTCCCGGACTCTGGGGGCTCCAGAGTCCGCACATAACTCACAGATGGCCCTGGCCCCATCTCTGCCTCCGATGCAGAGCCCTCATCCGGGCCTTCCCCTGACTCCAGGACTGGCCCATGTTCCTCCCCAGCCTCCTCACTGTCCGACTCCGCTGCTAGCTCTGCAGGCTGCTGGCAGACCACAACATTGCTGCTGTTTTAGCTATTATACTCAAATTCACCATCTTTCCAAGATGTACAATTCCACATATTAATAATTCTGGTCATTAAATCCGCATTTCTCTGGGGGCATCCAAATTGCAGAAGGCAGTTTTTTTAAAAAGTATCTAAGCAGATGAACAAATTCTTGCATATAATCAAAAAAATTAAAATGTGAATTGGGGGGGGGGGGGACGAGAGGGGAAAGAGGAAAAGGTGTAGGATAAATGGGGAAAGACAGCCCTTCCTGTGCAGTAGAATAAGGCAACTACATACAATCTCAACTTTTTAAAGGTAATGGTTGTATCCGACTGCAGGGTATGGTGCTCATCTCCGTTTCTTGGCCGAGGGAGCCAGCGTTGTCCAAAGACGTTTTCCATGATCATCTGGTCAGCATGGCTATATGCCAAAGATGCACAGAACGCCGTTACCTTCCCACCAAAGTGGTACCTGTTTCTCTACTTGCATTTGCATCCTTTTCAAAGAGTGGCGCGGTGGCCTAGAGGTGGAGCTCTCGCCTCACAATCAGGAGGAGGTGAATTCGATCCTAGGTAGAGGCAGATATTTCTCTCTCTGGGCCCAATGAGAATATATCTGCCGAACAAAATTCCGCATCAGCGACAGGAAGGACATCCGGCCAGTAAACACTCAGCTCCATTCAGTTGCTCAGACTCCACCCTGCAAGGGCATTATGGCGTCGTTAAAAGAAGATAAATTTGCATCCTTTCAAGCTTGCTAGATGGGCAGGAGCTGAGGCAAGGAACGGGAGCTCTCCCCACCCCGCACAGAGCTCGGGTCTCGAACCTGGGCTGCCAGCTTTCCACCTGACAAGCACCCCTTCGCATACAATCAACCAACCCTATAATACGGTTGATACTAGCAGCATTAGGTACCGAGTATTTTATATCCTTCAGATTTAAAACACTACAATGTGGAATTTTGTCTCCTGTGAACATTTTGGTTTCTTGTTTCCAGTATGGGACGGGCTTTATACTGCTACTAGATACAAAGCTATGGAGGCTGCATACAGTTGCTACGGAAAAATGACTGCTCAGCTGTATTTGCACGACAAATTTAACTGGGTCAAGGTAGAGATTGGTGTGTAACTTGATACAAACGTGAAATAACCATTTCAGGAGCTGATTAAGCCTTTTCCCAGCTACGCCATGCAAACTGTCAGATTATTAGCAGCCCCTTCCCACATTTTAAGACGGAAACAGCATCCTAGAGAAGTTTCTTGACCATGGGGCTTTTCGGAGTTCCCGATTTCCATTTTACTTGCCTCGCAGCCACACTGTGAGTGGGGAAAAACAGCAAAAGAGAATTGGCAGCAGTTGAAAGAACTCGGGTGGAGGGGAAAATGGCTGTGCACACAATTCACAATTGCACATCATGGTGTCAGAGAAGTTGGATGTCTTTAACATCGTCTGAAAGAGGCTTCCTATATAGCAGTTGGCAATTCCTCATTTAGTAACTCGGATATTCTGTTAACGCATATGAATAGAATTGAAATTTATTTGCTACAGTTATTAGTTAAATTCAGGGCTGGGGGATTCCTATAGCAAAGTGGAAAGCAGTCCAATGGGAAAATGGATGGTTTCACAGCCACGTCTTATATTTTTTTAATCAGGTTGAAAGAAGCAGTAAAATTTACTCAAGTGTGCAAAAACTCTACCGCATTGGGTACAACGTTTTGTAACTTCTACCCTCGTCGTAAGACTTTTTAAGTCCCATAAAAAAATCCTGAATTGTAGGAGGACCTGGAAGAGAACGTGGAAGATTTTATAGCTAAATAGATCTAAAGCAGGGGTCCCCAACCTTTCGGACCTTTATAATTTTAAATTCCGCGGACCACTAATATGATCTACCTAATGACCGGCTGGGTGGGCGTGGCTAGGTGGGCATGTGACTGGGTGGGCATGGCCAACTCAAGGTCACTTGCATCAAGGGGCGCATCGCCGTCCTCTACTCGCCCCTCCCAGCCACTCCTCGCCTGCCCGCCTGGGCTCCTTAGGGCCCCAACAGGAAGCAGTTGTTGGAGCTAAGCAGCCACCACGAGAAAGTTGGCAAAACATCTGGCTCAGTTCAAATTGGATCTGGCCGAGAAGGAGGCTCAGCAGAAGCACCTCACTGAGGACTAGGAGCATAGGCTTTCCAAGCAGACGGAAGACCTGAGGGAATGCCAGGTCAGGTACTGGTGCCTGGAGGCTCAGCGGGTTGAGATGGTCGGCCAGTTCCAGGCCATGAGGCAGTCCCACTGGAACAAGGCCCTCCGGCTCTTCACCACCAGCGGCGCTTCCCTCCAGCCTTCGCCCAAAGCCCCACACCAGGAGGCTGAAGCAGACCCCGAGTCAGGATTTCTGCCCCCCTCTGCCCCATACAAAAAGGCCCCCGAAGGGGGGAGACTTCTGCAGCAACACAAATGCTCATTGTACATATCCGGCCCAGGGGCCGTAGTTTGATTTAGTGCAATATAAAAAATGCAAATAACTTTTCTGTGGACCACCAAAATTTTCTCGCGGACCACCAGTTGGTGACCGCTGATCTAAAGGATTCGAGCAGTTTATCTTTCCATTTGTGCCCCAACAACTGTAGATTTCATCATTGTACTTGGGCCTTTCTGCTTTCCAAGGTGCATCGGTAATCTTCCTTTCTCAACAAGTTGTAAATTAAATAATCTCAGAAGCGCTTGATGGCCAATGCTCAATTTCTGCACATTGTGGCATCATTATCATTATAAGCTTTTGACGCTGTTAAGCCAAAATTTAAATGCCGTATCCGCTTACAAAGGATTGTATATTTAGTTGTAGGTGTTTCAGTTACACCCTTCCATTTAAGAGGAGTTATTGGGCAGTATAGAAGGATAATAAAAACCAGTTTGTTCCTGTACATAACAGGGTTTCAAACGGGGAACAAGAAGTATCACCTCTTATCATTTTCTCTATAATCGTCTGAGGATTTTTCGTTTTCGCCATTATGAAGATACGTTACTCTGCATGTAAACCAATCTGAATTACTCCATCTGGTCAAGTTTGTCACTCTAATTTTTATGCTACTCCCAAGTTTTGCTTTTTAATTTAAAAAAATAAATAAAATAAGCATGAGAATATTGGTTACCGGACAGCTAATAGGCGTAAGATGTTCTTTATAAACCATTCAGCTAAGCAGAGAGAATAGATATTTTCATGCCGTTAACGAAAAAAGCATGTCAAGATGAAGGAACTCTTCCCTCCCCTCGCTACTTTGGTAACCAAGAAATTTAATAACGACGGATGAGTATCTGTCTTCCAACTCACTCTTCGAAAAAAAGGCCTAGCTGCTGAAAATCGTTTTTAAGAAAATGTTGAAGGGATGGATAACACTGATGGCCGTATAGGAATTTGGAAACAGGCTGTCTTAGAAAATCCGGTGCTCTACTCAAGAGAAATGTACTACGAATACCCAGTCTGTGGAAGAGCTTACTTTTTAAGTCAACACGCTTTAGCCATGTTTCAAAATTAACAGAGAAATTCAAACTCTGAGAAAGAGAGTTACTAACTTCCTGCTGAGACAAGAGACGGAAGGGGTATATTAGTAACACCGTTGCCTGAGTTGACCCCTGCAATCCAAGGAACCATTTCCTGGCCCAAATACAACAGGAAAAGGCTGCCATCTGCTGATCATCTAAAGACACGGGTGTCCAAAACTTTGGCAACTTTTTGTGGACTTCCAACTGCCAGAATTCCCCAGCCAGTATGATTGGCTGGGGAATTCTGGGAGTTTGAAGTCCACGGGTTTTAAAGCTGCTAAGGTTGGATAAGCTCAGATATTGCTGTTTTTCTGAGCAGCGTGGATTTGATTTAAATCGACTCGGTTTAAATCACGGTTTAAATCACTAGTAAAAAGGCTTGATTTAAATCGACTCGATTTAAATCATAATTTGTAAAGAGCAGCTGTCGTCTCTGTCCCGCAGCGGATCCTCCTCCGACCCGCTGTTGACTCACCGACAGTCCCAATATTGCAGAATATACAGCCTCATATGCTACATAACTAAGCTCCCATTTCATGCTGAATAGACTAAATTATTGATGTATCTTAAATAGAAAACTATCTCTAGGTAGATTTTTACTCCAAAAGCATTTTATTAAAATAAATTGGATAAAAAATTTTTTAAAAAAAATCCAATTTAAATTTAAAAAAAATCCAATTTAAATTTAAAAAACCTGATTTTTTAAATTTATGTTTTTAAAAAAACCATCAATTTTTATCCACCCTGGTTCTGAGCTCCGAGAT